ATTTCGTCTTCATCGATCTCCTCACGATTCTCTTCCTGATCATCATCTTCATCTTCGTCTCTTTTTTCTGTGACGATTAATTCCTTCTTCCTGTCATCTTCTTCGTATTTGTCCGTTTTTGTAGTATGACGATTTGATCTTCCTCATCTTCGTGTTGATTAATTTGTCCGTTTTTGTATGACGATTGTTTTTCGATCGTCTTCTGCTTCGTCGTCATCGAATATGAAATCCTTTTCATCGGAGAGAATCGGAGTTCGACAGTACAATAAATCGGAACTTCCGCGGCTGCGGTGGACGCCGGAGCTTCATCGCTACTTCGTCCAGACCGTCGAGATCCTTGGAGGAAGAAATCGTAAGTTTCCGCCAAGTTTTTGCTTGTTCGTTTATTGTTATGGCGTTCTGGCTCTCTTTTCTGTCCGTACTGGAATTTTTTCTCAGAAACTGTTTCAGAGAGAGCGAGAGAGAGCGGTGTTTGTTATCTGTCCGTACTGGAATTTTTTGTTGCTTTCTTCTGAAAACTGACTTGTTGCAGAAGCAACGCCGAAAAGAATACTGCAAATAATGGGAGTGAAAGGACTGAAGATTTCGCACATAAAAAGCCACTTACAGGTATACTTTTAATAAACGCAAATGTTCGTCGCTATCGTTGAGTTGAGTTGAGTGATCAATTTTTGTATATTACATACATTCAAAAATCAAAAATCAAAAATCAAAAATCAAAAATCAAAGTTCTTCAAACTTTTTATATACAGTACAGTTTTGGTCCGTTCATACTTGATTCAAAACTCAGATGGTGATTCCAAATATATATAAACGAACTAGTCTCTTGTTTCACTGCAAGTTTTCGGCCGGATTTTTCTAATTTACAATTTGAGTTTGTAATTTGTAGAACTTGTTAATTAGAGTATGCTAATCTCATAAACCTACCACAAAGCCACATCAAAAACCTAGAGATGAACACATTTTTATAGCTCGATCTATATAATCCAAACATCTTTATTGCGTAAAATTCGAATTTTCAAACGCCTCCTAATTTGGTAAAATTTTCGAATTTTCAAACGCCTCCTAATTATACAAACTAAATTTGGTACAATTTTAAAAGAATTTTCTTAACCATAAAAAGACAAGCCATGAATAAAATTAGCAAGAAATTTATTCATATATTGGAATCAAGGCAGCATATACACTCTCTCTCCCTCTCAATGTGAATATGCATATCAAGCCAAACAGAAAAGATGATAGAATACTAGTAACTTCCCAGTTAGGACATTGTTTAATTAAAGAAGCTTTTTACAAATTAAAAAAGAATTTAGTTTTTGGTTAGGTACATTCCTTACCGCAGGAGAGAAAAGTAACCTTTAATTCAATTAAATATGAAATTAAAGACAAAGAAGCAGAATAATTATGAGTTCTTGCATGGCGACGCTACTCATTTTTTATTCCATTTATATTCTTGTAGCCATTATACAGTGAAGCCCAAGATATATTGTATTCTAACAAAAAAAAAATTTGCGTGTTTTTCAATGATTTATTTATTTATTTTTGCAGATGTATAGGAGTACGGAATTAGAGCGTGGCAGCAGTTGCAAGCATGTAGTAACGAGACAAGCCATGAAACAGCCCAGAAAAGGAACATCGCACTCATCTGACATCAGAGTCCTCCTCTCTTCAAACGGGTACGGTTCATCAATTTTTTTCATCCATATTGTCATTATATCATTTCTAATAAAATTCACATTGGAAATAACAATTCAACTAAATAATTAAGTGAATTAGTTCAACTGATTAAGACATATCTTCGATAAAAAATTAAAAAGTTTGAGTGAGTAGAATCCTGGTTCTTATTAAAAAATAGTTTCCTGTAATTTAAAAACTCAAACTTAGAATAGATGTAGTGTAAATGCATGGACTCAAAAGGTAGATTTTTATTATTATTATTATTTTTTGGGACATATTTGAGGTAATGGTCATTGGTCAATGTCATGTTTTTCTCCTTTTAGTGTCACAAAAAATAGTCAGCATATTTGGAGTTAAGCAACTTTGCATCTAAAAGAAATAATGTAAATCTTTTTTTTTAATTCTTTTTTAATCTTCTCAATCTTGAAAAGCATGTTTTTTTTAATTATTAAATGAGTAAAGATCTCAACAAATAAAATTTTCAAGGACGTGTTTGAGAGTGATGATAGAATTATTAATTTTGAAAAAAGAGATTTAAGTATAATTGATTTTCCAAAATCATCATCCAAGTGATACCTTAAAAATCAATTAAAAGTGATTTTAAGCTCCCTTAAAATCAATTTTCTAATTTGCCCGATCAATGGAAATAGGAGTGATTTTAACAATGACAAAAATGATTTTGGCCATGTCAAAATCACAATCAAACAAGCCCCAAGTTAGGTTAAGTATTAAAATTCCGGGCAATTTTAAGTTTTCCTTAAATAATTAATGGAAATTGATATGATTAAAATAGTTTGTTAGGAAAGATCTAGAATTTTAAATTTAACATTTGAAGGCCAAAATGTTAAAATATAAAATTCTATAGTTCAAGGATTAGACTCTTAGAGTGAGATAGGCAAGGCTAATTCGGAAATTAAGATCGAATTTAAATCATCTTGATTCGCATGTATGAAAGTTTGAAAATATTTAAACTATTTATATTTTTATGTAGATAGAATATTGGAGAATTATTATATATTTCAGTTGGAAACATTGAGATTTATATATGGCAGGTTGATTATGAAATATTTAGAAAATTAATTTAAAAAAAAATGCATCCTAATGACATTACAAAACTATGCAAGTATATTTATTTGAGCTTCAAACAAAACTATTTTTTAAAATATTTTACATGAACTTAAAATTAAATACAAATAAAGAAAAACGATAATAGGAAATACAAGGTTTAACATAGATAATTATTAGGGTGTATATGAGAGTGATGGTAGAATTAGTAATTTTGAAAAAGTGATTTAAATATAATTGCTTTTCAAAAATCACCATCTAAGTGATAGCTTAAAAGTTAAATTAAAGTGATTTTAAATTTTAATAAAATCAAATTTTCAATTTGACAAACATGATCAAATGGAAAGTGAAGTGATTTTGACAATCATAAAAGATATTATTTAAGACGAAAAAAAGTTTATATCACACTATCACTTCAATTTCTAATTTCCATCCCATATTTTGCAGGAGATTGAGAAAAGAAGATGAAGAGTTCAATAGAAGTCATGAATCTCCATCCAACGTAGAAGATAGGATCATTTCTCAACAGGTAAATTAATGCTTCAAAATTTATTACAAGTATGATATTAAATTATAGAAAATATGGTGTCTAGTTTTGAGTAATTGAAATAGAAGAAAATTTGAATAAAGATTTCATTCAAGTTCTGAAATTAAAAGTGATCATTAAAATACTATTTGGTGTAAATTAAATATAGGTTGAGTGTTTCTATAAGGGAAAAAAATCGAAAGATTAAATGTTTTTGTATTTAACATTACCCATATAATTTTGTTTATTTTTTTTTAAATTTTATTGGGATGGATATCTGAACTTTCGACCTTTTGATCGACAAGGTGAAAATATGTCTTAACAAGTTGACAAGCTATGTACAAGCTTGACTCATAGAATTTTCTTTCCAAACCCATCTAGAAACCTTAGAAATATTTTCTGATATTTTCGAAAAACTCTTGAGTTCACTTTATAATTTTCATTTATTTCTTAGACGAGAGATGTGAGAGGGAGAAGGGTGGGATGAGGATGATATGTAAAGGCTTTGGGTTATACATAGAGAGCATCATTAGATAGATTATATTAGTTTAGTAGTAGTAGAACAAATTTTTCTTACTTTCTTTGGGTGTCTCGGCATTGTTTTTAATATAAATTTTGGGTACAATTATGGTCAACTTTCATGTATATTTTGATCCATCCCACAAGCTAATTTCCATCCTTCTCCTCCAAAATGAAGAAAAAATGGACCATTTTCACTGCTAGAAGTGAGATGGTTTATCTTTAATATGGTGAATTTTTTTTGTACCACTAAAAATAGAATACATCAAAAAGTCAATATAAAAACTATAACATATAGATATCTAAATTATATATAGTAAAAGTAAAATATTTGCCATTCATCCCCTATATTTCAACCAAGGACGTATTTTTTTCATCTATTTATCAAACATTATATTCTCTCGTTATATCATTGGTTTCCCATGCACCGTCTTGTTGTCATCTTTTGTTGGACGTAAGAGGAGGCCATTAGCCAATTTTGTTTGTGCTGGGACGTTTGGAACTCAATTCAATTAGTGTGAATAGTGTTTTTTTTAACTTTATATTAATTTAGTAAAATAATAGTATTTCAAATATTTGTTTAACTGTTTTCTGCACGAGCTGAATCATCGTGTCTTGACCAAACTAAATATTCTGGAAATGGTTAAAAGACCAGAAAACTCTAGCTATATATTTTTATATTTTGATTTTATTACGAGTAAAAGAGATCTTTTTCTATTTTTTTCTATTTTATGATTTTAAAATCAAAAGATTCAAATATGTTTGAAAAAGTAAAAAAAAAAAAAAAAGAAATGAACATAGAGAAATAAAAAAAATGATTAAGATTAAAAAAACAATAATTGGTGAATTGTTTTGTGCAGGATTCAGATTATTCATGCTTGGTAGGCAGAATGTCAGATGAGGAATGCACTGACATTGGTGAACAAACATGTGACTGTGAACTCTCGTTATCCCTCAAGCCATCTCCTTCTCCATCTCCTCCTCCTCCTCCTCCTATGAGACAGATTCTAGAAAGAGAATTATGGCCACTTCAATATCCCAACGACTCTACAACTACCACTACTTCTACTTCTACTTCTACTTCCCAACTCAATTTTGTACGCCTAAAAGAATCCCCTCCTCACCATCATATCAATTTAGACCTAACCATTTGAACCTCATTATATATATTTATAGCTTTAGATATTATTACACTTTTCCCTGTCAATTGCATGATTTGTTGTAATGTTTAGATATAGATATTAGACTTTCTTTTTGTTTTTGTTTTTTTTAAACCTGGTATTGAATTGAGGGTCATCTCCCATTGAGGCACGCCCACACAAAGATCCAAAATTGTGAAGACTCCCTTATTAAATTCATCTAAATGTTCAAACATGGAGCTTCAAGGCAGTTACTCAGAGGCACGCCCACCCTTTCATTGGCATTGGTTTCAAATACTCTTCCCTATATCCACAACAAACAATTGAATGTAATCATAGTTTAGCAGTTAAGGAACCGAAAGTCTCCACCCCACATTTGTTATACTAAAAAACAATCATTATATATTTGATTATGCTATTTTTTTTTTCTTTTTTCTTATAGATTGCTATCTATGTTATTAACATGAAATTGTACAATTTGCAACTTCGACATGTACAAAAGGTGGCAGAAGCACGGCCAAGAAAGATATTTTTCTAACTACCTTTTCCTTTATCACAATGGTTGGCCCAATGGAAGATTGTGTTTTTTTCACTGCCTCTTTGCCAGTGTCTTTTTCAGTCCTTTGACAATTTTCGCGAACCACATCAAATTCATCACCGATAAAACCAACGGAACCACGAACACTAAAAATTGCCCGAAAGCATGCATCTTGAGAACCTGTATTAATTAACATAAATTCAGGAGCCAAAATTTTAATTTTGGGAAGGAAATGTCAAATCCATAAGCAGACTATATTTCCAAGAGAACATTTTCCAAAAATGGAAAAGGAACTGGAGATAATACACAAATCACAGTATTTTGACGAATTTTATGTTAAAAGTGATCATCCAATACTGTCGGTAGGCTCCGATCTAATGATTAATGGCAGCTATGATCACAGAATTATTCTCCAAAAAGACAATAACTTTATATCACAAGAGAGAGAATATTGAATCACTTTATGTCACAAAAATCAATACCTTGTATATCAATCGTTGAGGGTAAATTTGGAAAATGTTGAATTCATTTCTAAACATATATAAATAAGTATATGTATGTGACACGTGTTTCAATGATGCATGCATGCGAATGTTATCAGGTTAATTAAGCAGAGTAAGCTTTGATAATACCTGATCCAGGTGCAAGTAGACATGGTAAAACAAGTACACGAACAGAAGAATTCTGGCTACCTGCAAAAAAAAAAAACATACACACAGATTGATTGTTGAATTACATTGTTCCCTAATCAATTAGATAATACATGGAAACAAATAGATCATTAAAACATGATATTCTTTTACTCACCAGCCAAGCGAAGAATATTACAACCCCATTAATGAGGTATGCTTTTGACTTCTTCATTCCAGCTGTGTCAAGGTACCTACGCGAAGGAAAAATATCCTTTTAGAAATTTTGGAGAAAATGGTTTGCACGATACAAATATATTCATCTCCTTGAAAATGTTTATATATATATCTAGCAACAAGCAAAAATTAACAAATTTTGGAAGTCAAAATCAACTTATTTCACTTGATAATTCATTCATAGAATATTACCATCTCAAATTGATCCCAGGGGTGGTCGTCTCAGAGATGAGAACCATGTAGGTATAAAGCTGCCCTTCACCAGTCAACATAGCATAGGCCACAGCTATGAGAGAAAGAAGATGATGTATCACCTGAAAAATTTTCCAATTTCCATAAGCAACAAATTTCCAACATAATTTTTTTCCCATAAAGAACACAGATCATATGTAGGAATAAACAGTAACCAACAATATTTAAAGCGAGGATGCACTTACATACTCCATTCCACCTAGTGCAGGATAAAACCAAAAGATCATCACAAGATCAGTTATGAAGTAACCGACAGAAACCTGCAGAGTAGAGTATCATCAAATTTTTGTCTATTCTGGAAACAATAGTAGGTGTAAGGGGTTATCGTAAGCAACGAAACCACGAATAGATTTACATTATCTGATCATGAAATGAGTTTCAAAGCATCTTAAGTTTTAACTCAAAACATTTAACTATGTTTCTCTGGATACAACTTTCAAAAAGTCAACATAGATTTTCATCAGTTTACATATTATTTCAATCAAAATTATTATTTATAAACATGCCACATTAGAACACAGAGCTCTCTGTCTCCCTCCCCAACGCTCCATGCAATACTTACTCCATAAATAAAGCTTAATACCATTTTTTTTTCTCTTGATGAGAAACTACGTATTATTTTGATCAAAGACTTGATAGGCTAGAGCCAATAATCTATCATCTGCTCCACCACAAATAAGTTCTGGAAAACTCTAATCTCAAAATTACACACATACTATCCATCCTCATCCTTGGGACCCGATCACGACATATTTTTATTTTTTAAGGGCCAGACCATGAAACTCTAATCTTCCATCTTTATTGTTATCATACCATGGCTTTTACATAGCTTAAGAAAGTCAAGGCACTACTTAACATCTCCAAGTTCCGACATATTACGAAGCTTCCCACACACTACAGTGATATACCTACTCAGAACAGAGATGGTACTTACTCCCAGGGCAAATGTAGATATTGTTGAACTACGGAAGGTAATAAGGCCAAAATGTTGGTCAGAATAGAGGTCCGACAAAAAAACCAAGTACAGTGCTGCTGCTGTAATGAAAATGGCGTGGAGAGTTGACATTGCCCTGTAAAAACAGAAATTACACATGAAATTTTTATTACAAGGAAAAATAAATAAACTAAGGCAAACAAGGGAATGATTAGTTACCGGTTGTTCCACTCAACACGCTGAATCCTAGAAAGGTTAGAATAGCTCTTGAAGTAAACAGCACTGATCGAATCAGTCAGATCATGGACCTGCAAACCAAGGAAC